ACAAAGCTTTTTTTACATGCGCTAAGCTTACAACACTCAGACCAGCGAACCATAGCGTGCTAACTCCAAGAACGGTTTCTCACCTTAATTCCACCAATGTTCCGCTCAACGGCCTCCCTCAGCGCTTTGCAGAGTGAACAGAAAGTGAAACTAACTGACCGCACACTGCTTATAAAGGAGGAACGTGCAGTGCACTCCGTATTCACTATCATAGCTCACATAGAGGGATGTAGGGCAAGAAATCGGCAGTTATGGAGATGCACTCATTCCTGTTATTCATACTTGGATTTCGTTGTTTTATCCAAAAGGCCTCAAGGGTTTTCCTAGCACCGATATCGCTCTCGTAGGCCAGTATTGTGCATTTAACGTCAAAGTCACAACCAGCATGACTTTCCCTTCTGTGTTTGCCAAGCGGTGCAACCAAATTTTCCCTTCGTTTACTAGCCAGATGTTCTTTATACGTACACCTAATTGTCTCCCAGTTTCTCCAATGTACAAGGCATCACATGTTGAACACTGATCTGGTAAACCACGGATCTAAAAAAAAGCTTTGTTTGTACTGAGCGGATAGGTTAAGTTCGTAAAAGTTTCGAAACGCTTTCAGGCCTTTGAAAACGACGATTGCGTCGAAACGTCAGGCAATAAATCTTCCACCATACAAAACCTGTCAGGCACAGAAGAAATAACAGACATCGCTATAGTATTTCATTCTGGTATCACTCGACCCACGGAAACTCCGACCACCGAGACACCGACCCTGCCCCAACGGCTATATAAACACGCACTTAGTTAGCACACTTTCGGTCATTCGACAAGGTGATGCTGTGGTAGCCGGCGAGCAGAGGGGAACGAGGGGAGAGGAGAGGAGAAGGGAAAGCTTACGCAAGGTAGGGAGGTTCCGGCGCTTGCCGGGGGACCAATCTGGTTTTATATAATCGGTGGAACTTTTTTTAGGTTGATGCTCTTTTCACTCACGGAGATTATGATAAAGCGATATCTCTCTATCAAACAAAACTAAATCAACATTTCGATGTCGACAGCTTGATTGTTAGTGTTAAGAATTCTTTATATTTGACGGTTGTACGCAGCAGCACTTCCCCATTCATGTTTCAGAATTTTAACACACTGAAGAAGAAAATCGCCTTTCGATATATAGAAGAGCAAAAGTTCGAGAAAGCTGCTGACTTACTCATTTCTACCGAAGTCAATCCAGAAGAGGTATTAGTTCTCCTTGGGCTCTTCACCCAAGTCTACCTAACGTGCGTATCTCCTTATAAGATTCACCAGTTGGTGCCGCACGCGTTACGCGCACAGCACACTTCTGCGGCGATAAAGGATGGTGCGGCGTGATTTTCGAATCTGGCCCATAAACTTCGAATACTTGACTTTCAAGCTGAATTCTATCGATTGCTATTGATCATCAGCCGATAGTGGCTTGTTGAGCTTCCTCCTTCCGCACATATTGTTTGTAATCGTAACAATTTTCAGTTGTTTCCGACGTCGGACCGCCTCCGGACCGATTTATGAACTCGTGGTAAACTCCGCGTATTTCTTTGCATGTCCCACCTATCTTTTTCTTCCTCGCCAACCTCTTCCCACTTTTTACCCGATCTCTGAACTATCTCTGAGCCGATTTATAATTTTGGCGGCGAATCCTGCTTTTTTGGTGTATCCTCGCACACCATTAGAAATTCACTTCCTTCCTCGCATGTGCGACTTGATAGATTGCATTATAAGTGACTTGTGATAAATGATGATGATTTCCAGGTGTTATGTTTGTTCACATGGCCAAGCAGCGTGAATATTATGAGCAACAACGTCGTTTTGCACGATGGCTATCAATTTTTGGAAGAGTACTTGATGCAAGTTCGGGAAATGCACTTCGCACTCCAATCGCGTGCGGTTAGTGAATTCGGTTATTCATGACTGTGTTATAGCACTCACTGCACTGTTTAGAATGTGGACACGTACTTTTGAAGCGTTGCACTGCTTCACAACAAGCTGGAGGATGTTTTTCATCTCGAAAACTTTCATCCGTATTATGAAGAAAGCGCGGAGTTCTTAGAAAGTACTGGCCATTATAACTACGCAGCCAAGATGTGGTTGCTGGCGGGTGAGACATCGAAGGCTTGGGACTTTTGGAGGCGTCTGTGTTGTGGAGAATTGGAAGATGCAACGTTCAATCTTGATGATGTAGTTGAACGTATTCCATCGTGAGTCACTTGCTGTTGGCCTGAGTGGTTGTTGTGCCGCTCCATGAAAGAGAGAGGAGTGAGAGTGATACGATGAGCCAGCGGTTCAGTCGACTAGTACAAAGACTTATGGAGAGAACAGATTGGCCTAGCCATTTGCAATGACTTCTACAATGCACTTTCTTTCGGTGCATTCTTCTTGAAACACTTATCTCAATTTTGCCTTCCAAATCTGCGAACCAATTTTCTGGTTAAGATCATGAAGGTTGAAAGCGCTATGGCAGTGGTCTGGACTCTGACAGGTCTTGGGCGACTCCTTAGGAAGGTTTTCAGCAAAATGGCTAGCAAGACTTCTCACATCGCTAGAAACTGCAGTATGCTTCATAATTATAAGGTCACCCTAAAATTTTGCATTTCCGAAACAAGCAGCCGACTGAAGTATTATCCAGTTGATTCCTCACTATGAAAAACCCCTGGATCGCAATTTTGGTGGGAGCAGCTTTTCTTCGAACTTTTTTATAATTATTTTTCGGTTTTTGCACCGTTTCATAATTATAAGGTCACCCTGTGAAAATGAATACTATCAGAAACAACCAACCTGCCTGTGAAATTGAATGTTTGTTACAAACACACCCATTAGCTAAATTTATGGAATGTTTCGTACTCGTCCTTTTGAAGAAAAGGTAAAGTTTATGCATTTCATGGTGCTCGGCACAGTTCGAGTGTCTTTCTAAAGCAACGTGCCAGAGCCCTAGTGAGTTCAATTTGAGGACTGACTAAGGTGATGTAGTTATTTCACTAGTTTTGAGAACTGCATGAAATTTGGTTTCATTAGGAAGAAGACATTGTACCCTTTCACATAGTGCACAGAAAAGGAGATGAAAATGGAGCGACTCGGAAAAAAGTGGATATGACCGCGCGCGCACGCGGTCCTCATAATTTTGGACCACCCTGTACCATTGATGGTCGGCCCGACCTGTTGACCTTCCCTGGTTAGCTTGCTCGAATGGGAAGTGTATATTCAGGAATACGTGAACACGATCAGAAATGGAGTTTGCAAAAAATTGCACGCTAAAAAGAACAGAAACAGCTGCAGCACTTCAGCTATCTGCAAACATTTCTGAACGTGCTCTTGGGAATCATGAGAAAAATCTGGTCTACATGTAATTTTGGTGGCCTTCCTGCTCATTTCGCGATGCGATTTCCGTGCCTTCTGCGCCGCTGCGAGGAGTGTGTATGGCTTTTCTTCAATTTCTGGGAGCAGGAGTAATGATTATCGTTTTAGCATAACGGATAAGAAACTATTGCAAGATGTATTAACGTGGATTATTCGTTTGTCTCCTGAACGTTGCATGGAGGTATTCATTCACTCTGGTCTTCTAATTACTATATATTTTTTAATTCCTCCTTATCTGACCCACCCTAAATTAATCACGGGCAGGGTCAGCCGTTAGTTAGCACTACCCGCACGGGGAGTAGTACGATTATGGGAGGGGTCGTACATGGGGTTGAGCGCACGTCAATCAGTTTTTATAATTTTTGGGAGGACTTCTTTGCAACAGCACACGACAACCTTGAGAGATAGTGTGCGGACTCTGGGAGCGTGGGCTCGGTCGAGGTGAGGGTGTATCAAGACCCCCTAGGGGTTGTAAAATTTTGTAAAATGTAAAATGTAGAACTAAATAAGTGCGAACGCAACGGCACTACTCGCACGGGGAGTAGTACGTACACCCTAGGGTGTTGGGTCAGGCCTATCAATTCGTTAAACCACCCCCGTCAATAATTTTGGTTAAATCAACCAATCCCTTAACCACCACCACATCGCCTACTTAATCGATTATTACATTTTTTGCTATCATTTCGGTATCATAGGGTTTCAGATAATCGTGAGTAGTACAGTATTGGATTGTGCTACTGTCAGGAAGATGCTTGATGGTGATGCTAAACTTCTACGCATTTATCTCGAAAGTGTTCCATTTTCTGAGGAAATAGCGAAGGAGCTATGCGATCTTTACATCAAAGACATACATTCAGGAGGTTGTTGCTTCTTTCATTAATGACTTTTTGCATCTTTCCAAAACTAGGTTGTGGTTTTCGGTTTTTTATTCAACTTTTTTCTAGATCTCAACTGTCGCCACCGATTTCGACGGTTGCTTTTGAATATGAGTTTTTCTGATCGAACTGCCGTATACGACAGAATTCCTTCAGGATGTGGCGTAGAACGATTGCTATGTGACAACAGTGTGAGTTTGCTGTTGTATTCTATCTGCTTTATGGCCTGGGTGCGATCTAATTGATGTGTTATTTTCGAAAATCAGAAAAGGAGTGAGGGGAGGAATGTTGTCTCGAAAAAAAAGCAAAAAGCGCCATGGTAAACACTAAAGTTTTTCTTGTGAGCCGTCCATGGTACTACAGAGGGACACCGCGCTGCGAGAAGATGGCGTACGCGAGAGGGAGCAGATACCACGTATGCTGCGATTGGCAGGAATGGCAGCGGTCAAGCGATAACATTTGCTCACCTGTCCCTCACTCAAGTCGCTACAGTACTACCAGACTGCCTTACTCGACGAGGGAAT